CATTTTGTCAGGTTGGCTTTGTAGAATAGAAATAGGAAATCAAACGGAGATTCACTTTCAACCCCACAATACAGTATATGATAAAAAAATAATGTTTTAAATGTGTATTTCATTAGTTTTATGCCAAACTAAGTGTATGTTTAATTTCAATTTCATACTGCATTTTTTCAAACCACTGTTTGTTTCATGGCGTAGTTCAATAATACTGGCCATTTTAGGGTTCCTAACGTTTAGGCTAATGTTTGGGAACACATCACAGTTCCTCTTGTCTTCATCTATTAATGGATACTGAGTCATGTAAAATGGAGTGCACTTGAAAGATAGGATAAATGAACCTTGTACATCAATGCAGCCATTTCGTAGAAATAACACAACCTGAAAACACCTGTGGGAAAGCAGAACGGCAGCAATGAGAGACGGAAACAGCAAAAGACAGAAAGGGACAAAGAAAGGGGGAAGCATAAACAAACTTCTCGAAATAATCATCAGATGCACCCAGAGGAATGGAGGGGCCGTTTAATCTCACATTACCCTGAGTTTCACCATAAAAGTAGTGGAACATTGTGACGTGCTGGTGTGGTACCACCAGCACCATATAAGAACAAGTCTCCAGATCCTGCTGTAAACAATCGAAATGTGTAAAAGTGTGCAGACGAGCATGTTTATATCTAAAGCTTACAAACAGAATGGGCTGCAAAATTTACAACCTGGCTAGGCCAGTTTACACTGACTGAGAATATGGAGGGCTTCACATAATCCTCATTATAGGCTGCAGCGAATGATGATTTTAGTATTCGAAGCTTCTATAGATTCTTACGATTCGACGAACGATTCATCGATGCGTCATTTAAGAAGCAGAGCTTGCCGGCGACACCCCCCTATCGGGAACAGGATCAGCTGTGCACGTTTAGAGGCGATAGATATTTATTAGTCGTTTCGGAAATTCATAGTGTGTCATACAGCAAACATCAGACCAACAACCAGACAGCTGCTTTACAAACACAAACATCACCCGAGTGCTACAAGTTATAGTAAAGGCTCGTGCAGACTACACGACTTTCAGCGTCGGCCGTGCTGTCAAGAAAACACACGTGAAATGTGAAACGGGAAATGAGCGATCCTGCACACGAAACAGCTGTTTGTTATTATAAAGACGGAAATTATAAAGACAAAGAATCTGGTGAAGGATGGATCAGCAGACGCAGGTAGCAGGGATAGTCTGAGCTACAGAGAGAGCTGCAGGGGAGTTAAAAGGTGCAGCTCCCCGACACCCAGTTAACGAATGACTGTGAGGTTACAGCTCACGGCCCAAAAAGGAGAACAAACAATTTTCAGCTGAGGACTGTGGCTTACTTTGGCTTCAACTCAACAATCAATCAGGATTTCAGTTTAATGCTAAAGTTGCTGTTACCTTGTCTGTGGTCTGCTGGCAGAACACCGGCTGCTTTCTGATCAGATGCTGTCGTGCTGTTGCCAAGGCGACATAAGTTTCGTTTTACGGTGGACGGTCGGTAACATCACAGAGTTGTTGTTTTCTTTAGTTTGAAATAATCCCATACTTGGACACTTCTTTTTTGTCCCTCGCACTTTTCTCTCTCTTCTTCCACTTTGCAAACAGCGCCATCATAATCACGTTGTGTTCACAGCGAAAGCAGGATGTGCGCCAGTAATAAATGTCCCTGCGAAACACTGTGCTATAAAGTTAGATGGATTAAAGGAAGCATCGATGCAAAGAATTTCTTAATCGATTTTATCAAATAATCGTTTCAGCCCTACCTCATTATGATATTTGGTTTACTGGATATAAACAGGTGAGGAAATCCACTGAGGTGACATGGGGAAGCTGCAATACTTTTACCACTCTGCTCTCCAAGCAAAGTCAAATCTAGGTACCCTTCCCTAATATATTGTAACACTTTTGATTTTGCAGTTCATTAGTGGCACTGCGTATCAGAGCGGAAAAGCATGTGTGGATAATGAGGAAGCCTTCCACTTTGTGTGAAGAGACACAAGTGACATAAACGTTCTAAATGCTGAAAGAGAAAGATGTTCTGTTTGAAAATGCTGAAAATAGTTACTTTCCACTTTTAAAACAAGCACAAACAGGTTTTGAAACCTTAATGCAGGGACCCCGCGGTCTGTTTTTGCCTCTCGGTCTTGTTCACCCTTCGTCTTCTCATTAGATGATGTGGACATTAGCAAACGAGAGCTCTGTGTCCTCCAGGCGAAAGAGACTGCAGTGACACAGCTCTAGACAAATAGCCATCAACTGGTCAGCAGGCGCTACGCCACCCCTGCTAAAAAACTGATTTAAGAACAGTGTGCTCTGAACGTGACTGTAAATGTTTGAAACCTCATGAGTGAAACCCAAACACGCTGAAAAGAAAAAGAGCGACACGGTGTCTGCTTACACACAAAACACAGCAGACACGGATTAGTAACACTTTAGCATTCACAGACCTTAATTCTAGGGATTTTAAACTTGGAGAGCAGTAAATGATGGGCTTGAGATGAGATTGGACTGATGTAAGAGAGAGGCAAACAGATAGACAGTGTGTGTGTGTGTTCTTTGACCTGCTAATGACATGCCTTTACTCCCTGGTGGTTTGTTATCACTAACGCAAGAATACTCACTCGTCGTGGGAGTTATGCCCTGAGCTCAGAGCAGATCTGGGAACAGGGACTCTGGTAGCTCTTGGACCTTTCCATATATAGAACTAGCCTGTTTTCAGCCACTACAAACATTAAACAGCAGAACGGTTTGCGTCAACATTAGTGTCATCTCTGTACCGACATGACAGATAGGAGAGTTGTACTTTGAACACTTTTCCCCCCAGAGCTATTAGCCTATAAGAAAAGAGTAGAAAAAGTACCATTCCATATGGTACAATATACATCAGACATCAGCAAGCGCTCAGCTGTCCCTTGCATCCATTACTGCACTATCACCCTACATTCTTCTTCAGTAATGCTCTGACAAATAAATTATAGCTTCCGTCTCAGAAAGGAAAATGGTTAAGTGGGAGGGTTACTGTCATCATGGCTGTCTAAACATAAGAAAACAAGCAAACAAGATGTCTTTTGGTTCACAGCTTCTAGGACTCTTCCCCCTGTGGATTACGTTACCTAAAACAAACAAAGGCGGAACTGTTTTGTGTTTCCTTTCATTTTTCTGTACTGGCAGTAAATAGCAGCAGATATATAGATATAGAAATATAGAAATAGCAGCAAGTAGAATTAACTGGTCAATTCTTATGAAATTTGACACATTCATACAGGTCAGCCCACGAAACTTTGACATCAACACAACAGTCCCTCTGCTGCCATCAAATGCAGGAAGACAAAATTAGCAACTAGCAGGTCAGCATATGGAACATATTTTTCTCAGGAGCTAAAAGGAGAGTCTGTGATCAGCTGATTTATTTCATCAACAGGACTCCAAATGATTGCTCCGTGTCTGCTGCATGTGTACATAGGCAATTGTTTGCTAATATAAGGTGATGTCAATGTTGATTAACGCAGCTTTAAGGCTTCAGTTGTTGAAGTTGCCATGCCTTTGTTCTGGACTGTTTTTTGGAAAAAGCATTGTTTGTAAAATGCAGGTAATGACTAATCAGATGAGTATAATCTATCTTTGTAACGTATTGTACCTGGATGCCAACTGGATGTAGTTATTAGGATAATTAATCATGTTTGTATAATCAATGTATCATACTGGGCATCACTATCTCTGAAACACAGTGAGCAAGTCGGAAACAATGGCATTAATGTGGATACTGATCTGAATTTGGAAAATCATCAAAACTTAAGAGCATTCATATCTCAACTAGACTCTCAGAAACTGAATCCCTCTTTCTATTTGACTGTGTTGATGTTTTGTTTTTATTGCTGTGTTGCTATATTTTGTCTTTCACTGTGAAGCTCATTGAATTTACGTGTAATGAAATGTGGTATATAAATAAATTGCAATTGCCATGTACAACACTAATTAGCATAATAAGCTCCTTCCATAGGTGTAGGTAAGTCAGTGTGCCTCTTTGAATTGGTCCAACTCAGTGTTCGCAGCTTACAGCCTTCAAAAACATTCACCATTTTATCCCTCAAGTTTCATCATCAGGTCCATGGCCTCACTGATAAGGGCTCTACAAAAAACCTGAACCTCCTCAGTGTGTTGTGTTCTTCTTTGTCATCTATGTCAACAGAGACAAAACCATATAAAGAGCCAACTGCTATCATTTCATTTCTTCAGCCCATCTCATGCCAAATTATTTCTGATTGCCTCTACTTGAAAGAGTCGGTGTGCAACAAAACCATGCATTAAATAACTCTTTTAGTTTTCCAATCCAATCATACCAGCCCTATATGTGTACCACATAAAGCTATAAAAAAATCCTCAGAGATTCAGGAGTAGCAGAGTGTATAGTGCACCCTAATGGCCTATTTGTAACTGTGAGGTTCAATGTTGTGCAAAACAGTTTGTTAGGTCTTCACAGAAGTAATGACCCAGAAGATACTGGTGGCTGTGAGCGACCTCGCTGATGCCTCAGGAGTAAAATCAGTGTCAAGGTCATGATGGAAAATGAGACGGAAAAAAAGGACAGACTCATGCACATGCCAGACATCCTCTTTGACCAGGTGAGTTGAAAAGTATAAAAAAAAATTAAAGACCTTTGCAATAAGTCCTTCCTGGTAAATGAGCATTTGTGGTGTCTGAATTATGTCTCACTGTGCTTATTGTGGGGCAAACTGGTCCAAATTCAAATTCCACCCATATCTGACACCTGGAGGGGAAGAACCAGCGGCAGCAACAAAGCTTTGTCACTTTATATTTCATCCAATCAGAGGCCACCTTGCCACTGGCATCAGGTGACAGCAGCAGGTAGTTCTCTACTGACACCTACAGGCTAATTTTAATATCACACCTCATAGAGCAAGGTCCAATCCCCAGCACCAGGATCCAAAAGGGGTCTTTTCATGCATATATTCAGAAATAAACATTGTAAGATTCACTCAACCTTATAATACAAACTGAAATAAATAAAAAGGAAAAGTACTCACCCCTCCCATTGTTATTCCATCAATAAGGGCGATATATGGTTTCCTGCATGCTCCTTGAAAGATAAAATATAAATCAAGACTTTAAATATACAAACGGATAAAGTAGAGGCTTGACTGTTTGGAAAGATTTAAGGGAGACTATAAGTGAATGTGGTGTAACTGTAATTCTTACCAATAGCATTGTTGAGAATGTATTCCTCACGGAAAAAGTCCTCCGCAAGAGAGTCTCCAACTTTCCCCGCTTCTGTGACCGCTGAGAAAAAAAAACAAATCGTAACAAAAAAGTAATGAAGCAACATGTTTTAACTACAGTCACACTGTTGCACATAAAAGTAAAAGCTCCCCAGACCCTAGCCCCAGTTTGTGCCACTCCCGCCTTAGCATTCATTCAGATCCCGTCCACTGAAGGATAAAAAATAAATAAATAAAGACTGTTTTGTTTTTTGCAAGTGTTTCCTATCCGGTTAGCTGGTGGGCTGCCATCTTTGTTGTTTTTTAAAATCACACAAAGGTAAGTGGTTTTAAATGACATGCTGGATTTTTCAAACATCGTCCGTGGTTATCTCTGTGACCCAGATAAGAGGTCCCAACTGGGGCTATCCAGACACCAGCGATTGAACCTACTGCTTACCTCTGATGTCTCCACCAGCACAAAAGGCTTTCCCACCTGCTCCTTTGATGATCATTATGTCAGTCTCATTGTCATTTCCCATTTCTAGAATCACGGAAAAAACAAAAAGCAGTAGATGTATGGAAAATCATCATCAAAAACAAATCGTATGTTAATTTCACACGTGACTAACATGAAACAGCACTTTCCAAAACACCTTAAAACAACTTAATATTGAGACCTTAAACAAAACACCATCAGTCACTTCGCACAAATTGTGTTCTATTTTAGAGTTGTCCTTGTTTGAAGTAAGGGCTCTGTAAATATGGCCTTCAGTTTCCTGGTAAACTAAACAAGCAAATGGCACACAATACAAAACAGCTGTCTCCTTCAAATTCAAGCACAAGAGGTACATTTTTATGTGATGAGACTGTGTACAGGTTTGGAGTAAAATAGTGTGTGAAAAGGTTTTTGTACAAGTATATCTGTAAGTGTTAACAAGTCTTGAGTAGGTTTATGTGCAAATGTATCCAACTCTAAATAGCATCAAAAGCATGACAATGTCACAGTAAGTGAAATACTGGGAGCCATTTACGATCACTAACTTGACATTTGCTCCAGCTGAAGTTTGCATTAACCAAGCTTTCTACATACCTTGAGCTGAGGGTAGATCTGCCGGATCATGGTCAGGTTGAGGGCATTCAGGACTTTGGGTCTGTTTATGGTGATCACACCTGCGTTGCCCACTTTCTCCAGAAGAACCTCTGCTTCCCTTACTCGACATCTGAGCCAAAAGAGAGACAACGGGACGTTTCTGTGAAGGTCGGCTCAGAGGTTGGCACGGTCGCTGGGTTCGATTCCTGTCTGTGGGAGGGTCTTTCTTGTGGAGTTTACATGTTCCCTTTGTGTTTGTGTGACTGTCCTCCAGATCAGGTTTGTTTAGGTTAATGTCTCTATTCAGGAACTGACTTAAGAGCTGGCATACACACCACCGAGGGATTCAGTGCTGCACTGGGCACTGCTCCTACTTAGAACATTAGATGGGTAAATGCAGAGAGCAAATTTTGCACATGTTGCACTGCGCATACTTGCGTATGTGACAATAAAAGTAAACCATACAATTGCATTCCTATAATCTCTATTCCTTACTGGAAAACCTACAGTAGCTAGAATAAAATAATACACGGCACAGACCCAGAATAATGCACATGTATATATCTGCAACATTGTTCTTCTATTCCATATTTATATATTTCCACATTTATTTATGTTGACTGTATGTTTGTCTACGTGTAGCACCTTATCACCACAGCAAATTCCTCCTAAGTGTAAAACACTACTTGGCAATAAAGCTCCTTCTGATTCTGATTCTGAATACAACATGTAGTAAATGAGAGGGTTTACTCACCATGTGGCCCTGGATTCGCTGCAGTCTGCAGAGGGACCTCAGTCTGGAGGAAAGACATTAAGTAAACATTAAGTATAAAGTTAGTATTTAAAAACATTTGATTTCATAGACCTAATTTCAGATCAACACTAACACAGTTGGAGTGCCCGTTTACAGCATTATTACACACATCTATGAATACATATTTTGGGCTGTGTGTATACAGTATATACAGCAGCACATTCTGTGTGTTTACACACAGCAACTAGCATCGCAGGGACTTACTTCATCTTACTTACTGAATCCAGTTTGCTGACATAAATTAACAAGCTACATGATGTCAGTAACTCAGGACAGCAAACCCCAAACTATACTCTATAGGCTCGCTAAAAACACAATCACTTGCCACATACCTGTAAGCAGACTTTAAAACGGTTAAGGACATTCTTATTTTTGACATATGTCGTCCAGGCACAGCTCTCTAACTTCCTGAAAGAGGCACCGAGCTGCCTCTGATTGGTCGGCGTGGCGACGTAACAGTGGGCGTACGCACCACCGAGGGAGATTCAGTCCTCGCTGTGTTTCTGCCACACTGCCACCTACTGCGCGGAGGAGGCACTCTCACTCAGGTCATTTAAATTCAAATTAGCTTTATTGACATGAACGGATAACAACAATATTGCCAAAGCATCATATATACATATATACAGTCTATGTACACACTACATAAGAATAATCAACCCCATACATTTCATTAAACAAGTAATTGAGGTGTAAAGTAATTAAAGCGTATGTGTGTTTATGTTAAAAAATATAAAAAATTAAATTAAAATAATAAATAAAACAGGCGTGTGTGTGTGTTAAAAAATAAAATATTAAAAGTTTAAATAAATAAATAAATGAACAATAATGTGTGTTATATAATATATATTAAACTTAAAATAAAAAAATAGATAATACCGTAAAATTTGTGTGTGTGTATATTAATAAACAAAAATTGTAAAAAAAAAAAAAAGTTAATTGAATAAAATAAATAAAAAGAAATCAGTATAAAATGTAAAAACAATTACTATATATATATAAAAACAATCAATAATAAATTTGAAAATTTGTACTATTCTGTATCAGTCTGAGTTTCCACTGGTTGTCCTCACTTCACGGCATGAGGAGAAATATTTTTCAGCAATTATTTCACATTTGGGCATTTCTCCCAGTAAACAGGGGTTTCTGTGTGTTGATATGAATTTGAATTCGGGGTATATTTGGGGAATGTTTGCAAAGTGTTTTTGTCTTAGTGTTTTATATTTGGGGCATGAGGTTAGAAAGTGCAGCTCTGTCTCTACTGTCCTCTGTCACACTGGGAGCAGGGTCTCTCATCTTTGTGTAGCCAGATCTGTCTGTGGGGACCCTTTTCTATGGCCAGGCTGTGTTCACTCAGTCTGTATGTTGTCAACATTTTTCTTAGTTTGGGACATTTACTGTACTCAGGTAATTTGCTAGTGTGAGTTCTCTTTTAGGGTCAGATAACATTGTAATTTACTTGTGTTTGGTTGTTTTTTTCCAGTATTCAATATATTTTCTTTCTGCTTGCTGATAATTTGGTTTGGTCTGCTTGAGCTGGCGTTGCTGTCCTGATGGGCTGTGGGGACTTGTTACTGCAGAGAGCCTCAGGACCAGCTGGCCGAGGGGACTCTTCTCTGGTTTCAGCTCCTGGTATGTTAGGGCTTTGTGATGATATGTCTGGGGGTCAACTAATTATAAGTTATTGTAAAATTGAATTGATCTTTTCTGTATTTTCAGTAAGAGGGGGTATTGGTCGAGCTCTGCTCTGCACAGGTTATTTGGTGTCTTTCTCTGCACCTGCAAGATGCTCTTACAGAACTCGGGAAGGAAAGATTCTATGATTGTTTTGTCCCATCTGTCAAATTCATTATTAAGTTTTGGCCCCCAAATTTCGGTGCCAAATAGAATTATTGGTTTAAGTAAAAATTGGAAAATTTTAAGCCAGATTTCAATTGGAATATAGATTTTAATGTTTCTTTTCATTGCTTCGAAAGCTCTCCTTGCTTTCTCCCTCAGATCTTTCACAGCCATGTTGAAGTTCCCTGTGTATGTAATGTTGAGGCCAAGCTAAGTGTAGTTTTTTGTATGTTGCAATTTAGTGGTGTCTAAATAGAAATTGTGTGTAACCTGATTTCTGTATTGTTTCTGAAAGATCATTAACTTAGTCTTTGCTGTGTTTACTGTCAGGGCCCAGGTCTGACAAAATCTCTGCAGGAGATTAATGTGCTGCTGCAAACCTTCTTTAGTAGGTGAAAGCAACACTAAATCATCTGCATACAGCAGACCACTCGCTTTTACATGTTTATTGGCCACTACCTTATTGACGCCTGACAATAGTGACAATAGTGAAAAGCAACAGCGAAAAGAACCCATACAGCAGTAGGTAAAAAGTATGGCCTGTTTAGACTTTACTTGACAATTCCATTTTACTCCTTTACATTTCACAGGGAAATATTACTCTTTTAACTTCATGTATTTTATTGACAGCTGTAGTTACCAGTTATCAAACAGCAAACCATATACGCAACGTATAAGACTTGATGCTTCCCAACAGTATATAAGGTAGTTCAATTTGATTTGCCTAAACCAGCTACAATGGAATGCTGTTTACACAGTATATGCTGTATATAGGCCTACTATACTATAGGCTTGCTAAATTTACTTAAGTAAAATTATGAATGCAGTTTTTCATTGAGGTATTGGTACATTAAAGTAAATTTGGATCTGAATGCATCTTCCACCACTGACTATAAATAGACTACTGTACAAGTTTACTTAAAAAAAAAAAAAATACAACATGAACTAGTGGCCCTCAAATACTACGTGTCTGAACTTGTTGTGTAAAAGCCTGGATATCAACATGAACAAGTGTTTGATTGCACAGGCTATCAAAATATGGTTAATGTGACTGCACTGGCAGTTTCCCGGGCGTTGTGACCAAGGTGCGGCTGAGCAAATGTGCTCAGTCAACATTCCCTGGGCAAATAAAGAGAACACAATGGTTTCCCAAGCCATAGAAGCAAATGAGTGTATTAGCATGGAGACAAAATAAAAGCAAGACGTTATTATGTTATTAATTTACTAGCATTTATCATGCACAGAAAGCATTTTTTTTTTCTCACAATCATGGATACATGCCTTATACTACATCATACCACATCAACAGGTCATGTCATGGCTGATCTAGAATAATTTTAAACATCCAGAATTGTTGGATGTTGGATGCCTTTGGGAGATTGAAAAGCTGTGAGTGAATATCCATCCATCTCCATCTTCACTTGATATGTGAAAACTAAATTAGTTTTCATTTAATATGTTTTGACAAAAGCCTGATTTGGGTAAACAATTTGCAAAAATATAGTAAAATATTGATTAGAGCATATGGTAGCAGGATGAATGTTCCCAGGGGCCGACTTGTTTCTCTTCTCATCCGGGAATCTTCATCTAGTCAGAGTCGCTGCTGCAGGAGCTGCTGGAGGACTACAGCAGGGGCGAATACAACACAGACATCAATGAATCACTTCAGTCTAATCTACAAAACCAATGTCACCAATGTTAACGGGTGTTTCAGTTGTAGCAGTGTGGTACATTAAATTTGATTTCCTGTGCTTAGTTCACATAGGTTGTATTGCACAACTCTTTTCTGTTCTAATTCACATATAAAGCATCACGTTTGGGAAAGTTATTGACACTTACCCCATGAGAGTTCTTTCCTTTCTTGTGACAGTGGTCATGCTTGTGACCATGCTTGTGCTTGTGCTTGTGCCCATGTCCGTGGCCCTGTCCATGGCATTTTCCGTGGCCCTCTCCATGCCCATGCCCATGTCCATGCCCATGACCATGGCCATGCCCTTGTCCTTGTCCTTGTCCATGTCCATGTCCTTGACCTTGACCACAACTAGGTCCAGGTCCAGGTCCAGGTCCGTACCCATGGTTGCCTCCAGGTGGACCGTGGGGCTGAGGAGGGTAGTTTGGTGGTGGAACAGTGCCAGGAGGATAGTGAGGGTATCCCCCTGGCATCTGCTGAGGATTGTTCGGGTAACCAGGAGGGTACTGGTTTCCTGAACATTAGGGGACAAGAGAAGTACTTAAAGCAACTATCAAGTATAATGCATATTCATTATATTTGAAAGTGTTGTTTACCTTGGTTGTGTCCGTACATTTTAAAACTTTAGATGAAACTACAGATCCTGAAAGCAGAACAAAAGCACTTTAAAGAAACTGACAGAGTTTGTCTTTAACACACATATACAATCTGTATTTGAGAGAGCTACAAATCAGCAAAAGGTGAACTTACAGCGCTGGAGAGCAAATCCACTGACGCAGCCGTCACCTGCTGCTGCTGCTGCTTTATATGTGCTGCCCACCTTACATCATTGGGGGCAGTTCCTGAACTCCCATCAGAACATTTTTTCTTTGTGACCTAAATGGGTGTGTGTATGTGCATGTGTGTGTGCGTGTATAATCTTTAAACTTTAAAGTTTAGACCCTAATAAATAGAAATAAAATTTGAGAACAGGATAATAAAATAGAATAAACAAATACATTCTGCTCATGTTTTCATTGCTTAGTAAGTTGACTATCCACAGAAGGCAGTGCAGCTCTGTGCCCTGTGTGAATTTGTTGTATTCCAATAACACAGTTAGCGCGCCTTCCAGTTAACATTTACACAAAAAGGTACAGGGCTGAAGCACCTTACTGTTATGTACTAAAAACTGTAGCTGCTCTAGTTTGTTCTAATCATAATAAACTAATCTGTAGTGTTATTACAAGATCAAAAATAGTAAATAGCCGACATGAAAGATTCAACGTTTCAATGCTTTTAAATGCTTTATTACACAGGTGAAAGTAACACAGGTACAGTTGGCTCCAAGTGAATGTGCTGGGAAGCTGCAGGGTAACTATTAGCTCTTAATTTAATGCTCCCTGGGTAAATAAAGATAATATAAATACACATTGATAGCTAACACAGTGTAATAAGAAACAATGAGGTCAAATGAAACAGATAATGCAGAAGCAGGACATTGTAGAAATGAATTGCTTTTATGATAATCAGAAGTCACTTATGTTGTTTATCACAAGTGAACAGTTATGATGTAACAAAAAATTGCAGGTGCCGACTGGTCTTGTTTCCCTCCCCATCAAGGAATCTTCATCTAGTCAGAGTCGCTGCTGCAGGAGCTGCTGGAGTACTACAGCAAGAACATACATCATCAGTTCCATTATTATGAGTTTCTGGATGTTTTATCTTATATGCAAATTACTTATTGTCAGTGGTGCAGTATTTACTTTGATACAAGAATCCATGATTTGCAATTTACATTTTATATTGAATAAACTGTATCTTACCCCATGAGAAGTCCGTCCTTTCTTGTGGCAATGGCCATGCATATGACCATGCTTGTGCTTGTGCTTCTGGCCATGCCCATGTCCGTGATGCCCATGCCCATGTCCGTGATGCCCATGCCCATGTCCGTGATGCCCATGCCCAGGATGGCCATGCCCAGGATGCCCATGCCCAGGATGCCCATGCCCAGGATGCCCATGACCAAACATATGACCAGGCCCGTGTCCATGTCCATGTTCATGACCATGATTATGACCAGGCCCTGGTCCATAACCATAGCCTTCCTGGCCTCCATAAGGGGGCACTAAAGGATTGTACCCAGGTGGAACAATAGGCTGAGGATAGTATGGTTGGGGGGGGACAGTGCCTGGTGGATATTGAGGGTATTGTCCTGGCATTGGCTGAGGAACATAGCCAGGGGGATACTGGTTTCCTAGTAAAACAAAAGAGGTGGAGCTCATCATTTTCTCCCAGTTTGAATAAACATAAAATTCAATTAAAGGCAGTTTCACAAAAAGGACAGTTTGGGGGTTTTAGTAAAAGTGAAAAAGACAGTATAAACAAGAAAGTTACTTACCTGCGTTGTTCCCGTACATTTCAAAATGTCAGATCCAAACCCTGAAACAGGAAGAAGCCACTTCAACACAAACAACATAAACATACAAAAGAAATGTGACTCTAAACAGCTGTCAACCTAAAATACTTTATTGTATAGAAAGTAAATGCATTTGACCGTGGAAAAGACTTATAAAACACATCATGCATACAGCCATGTCTCACATGACTACATAAGACAAAGATATTTATCAGAAGGGCATGTCTTATGGATGATGGATGGAAGAGATGACAAAATAATGCAATACAGTTAACAAAGGTAATCCATGCAAGTAAGTTGATCTATCCATTAATACACATACTTTAAGTCTACAAGACACATACTTTATAGTAATCCTATCTAGTGAGCTACTAGGGAACTTACTTTGTGCTGGTGCTCAGATCTACAGACCCAGCAGTCAGATGACTCTGCTTTTATGCAAAGCCACACCTCAGCTAGAAACAATCCAATGCTCATCATCAGGTGATGTTCCCTTATCCTCTGCACAGCCTGTTTGACAAACCTGTTTGCTTGAAAGATTTCCCTCAAAGCCATTCCATGGATGTTATCTTGAAACAAACCCTGTATTTTTCTCCTCTGACGAGTGAAGAAACCTGTCTGTTTTCTTTGCAAGCCTACACACGCTCATTCACTCAGTTTTTAAGGTTTATCTTCTATTTTAGCGTTGTGATGTTTACCTGTGTAACTGCACTATCCTTTAACATTCTGGAGGTCACACACACACACACACACACACACACACACACACACACACACACACACACACTGTACGTAGCAATAGGCAATGATAGGCAATTGTTTTGGAGCAAGGAAAACAAAATGAGAAATAAATACAAAAAAAGGTAAATTTCATGTTAACTTTATGTATGATCTCATAAATAACTTTGTCAAAACTTGCTTACTGTTCAGTTTCAAGTCTTGAAGGACAAGTCACATGTCAGAAGCAAATTAGAAGTCAGTTGCAAGTCTTTCAGGTCTCTGAACGTGGACTATTAAAATGGCATTGTAGTTTAGCATTTTCCTTTTGAATGTGTCAACTAGTCTTTCTGACTACTCAAAGCACTCCACACTACATCACAGTCACCTCATTCACACATATTCATACACTGATGAGCCGAGGCTTAGGTGCCAGCTGCTCACCAAAAACAGAAACTCATTCCCACATTGATGGAGTTGGGCATCAAACCAGTGACCTTCTGATTGATGGAAAAGTGCTGTATCCCCCAAGCCACTACCACCCCATAACCAAGGCCTAATAAGTACATAATCAAGCCATGTGGCTTTACAAGGCCCGCATGTCATTTGAGACTTGTTTCTGCGTCAGGTCAAATCTTTCGGGAGTCTCCTCTCAGTTCTCAGGTCACTGTTGTTTTTGACTAATCCACAGGAATATATGTATATATTTACTTTATTTTTAAATCTTGTGGGGAGAGTTCACCACACCTCTATCCTCCTCCTGTGAAAAAGGTGGGGGAGGTGAATTTAAACCAGCTTTCTCATTAGCATCTGGTTACACAAAACTCTGAACAGTAGAAAATAGGAAGCACTGGCTTAACCAGTTAGCCTAATACAAATGTTTTCAAACACAGGTGGTAATTGTTGCTCAACCACACCTTTAACTCTTAAATATTCTGGTGTGTCAGAGACAGCGTTAGTGAAGAGGGCAAAAAACTGGAGTCCAGCCTCATATACACAATAAAAACTGTGATTACCTTAGCACTGTGACTGATTATATATAATAAAATATATATTCAGAAGTGGCTCTTGAATATTGACAACATATTTCAGACCCTCAGTTTAAGTGTTTGAATTGTGAGTGTGACTTTCAGAGTTTCAGACCAGAGCTGTATGACAACACTGCCACAAATCACGTGAGCCGCAGGCTCACCACTGTGTAGCAGACCTTCGAAACGGGGGTGTTGTAAACTAAGCTCTGAAAGCAGAGTCTGCAATACGAGTGCAAATGTAATGTAAAGTAATAAAGATTCTCCCTTTCTAACCTCAATTTTCTGAGATGTCAAGTTTTGAATCAGAATTGTTTTTATTGTGATATTAGTCCCATACAGAAAACTAGTACGCTAGTGTCTCTTACTCTGAAGGACTTTTTGAATCGCTGTGCTCATCTTCCCTTTTGTCTCTGTGCTTTAGAGTCTTGCCTCCAGTGTCTTCTGTGCCAGTCTGCTCCCGGTCTGCTAAAACTAAAACCTAACACAACAGTAAAACTAACACAAATAGGCCTTTATGTTGCTATGTGCAGGTGAGGTGGTGTGCTGTGAAAAAAGTGTCACTTTGTCACACAGTTTAACTTTAGATTATTTTTATTATTTAGATTATATATTTTTATAAGTAGAAGAATTCCTTTATTTTCCAAATGTGCTGTTTGTTTGATAATTGGTACATTCACCAAAGCGGATCCAGTAAAAATGATACCATAGAATTATTCTAAATGCACGTTAAGTAAGGGACAGGGATATAAGGCAACATGGATACAAATGCTTTCATAAACTTTATAAACCATCGCACATTAAGTGCCTCTTAGATAGCAGCATTATCACAACAGATCTGTAAAGAGAAGCTCTGGTGGAGGAGTCATCCCGGAATGTCAACATAGAAAGTAAATATAAATAAGTTAGGTGATCATTTCAAGACTGAAATTAATTAATACTACTTACTCTGTCAGGACGGTTGTATCAGAAAAGATGTCACCCCCAAAAAATAAACACTTTCCATTGATTGTCTAATGCTGTGGCACAACAGTTCCCCTCTTTCCTGAAGAGTTTATTCCTCCATCAACAAGAGCTAAGAAATGATTTAGGTAAAAGCCTTTGTGTGTCAGCTGTTGTTTTGTCTTGTTTTTTGTCTTGTGTTTTTGTTGTTTTCTGCCTTCATGTCTTTGTAAAACATTTTCAGACAAAATTAAACATACAGTACGGAAACAAATATGATCCTGGTACATGCAGTAAAGCCACTTCAGTTTAAATTCTTCTTTGTTATGCGTGTTTTATTCCTTCCATCAAATTGGTCAGGCGTTTCTGTGTCATTCAGTAAAACCGTTATAACGAAATAAATGGTGAGAATAAGGTATGTGTGTAGTAAACCTTATCTCCTCAGCACGGTGTTCAGGGTAGGCCTTCTGGAAGTGCCTCAGAGCCTGCATTACTGCTGAGGTACACTCCACATAGGTATAATCTATCATGATGCCACCTGTTTTTGTGGGAGCATGAGGGATAGAGAGAACACAGGGTGAGCATCACAATTAACAACACATGCTGCATCCTTTTTTAACAAGGAAACATACGTTATTAGGTTCTTTGCCCTTTGATATTGATAATATTGCAACATATCCAGAGTACAATGAAAATTTTTTTCAGCCTTTGAATGTTGAAAGCAGTTGATGTTTGGCTCTTTGTTTCCCTTTTTCACTTCTGCATTTGCAGGTTGACAGAACACATCTGGCAGTGAAGTGCATTAAATGGGTGTTGACGGTATGATGTTGGCACCGGACCAACCAAACACATCAGAAGGGTTAAGCAGCTCCAGGAGTTTCCCTCCTCTCTTACACTGAAAAAAATTTGGAGTGTTATTTACTTGGGAAAACCTAGGAAAGTTTTTGCACTTAGAAATTGTAAGTAAATTCTACAAGGGCGATCATCAAGTAAACTTTACTTGCAGATATAAGTTTCTTTTACTAGCAAACCACAGGTAATTTACTATGTTTATTATCATTAAGTTTTACCTAAACTCTGATTGCTTCAAACTGAAAAATCTCACATAAAACCAATGGCTTTTCAAGGTAATTAAATAGTTTTTCTAACATTTATTTATGGACTATATTTAAGTAACATTTACATAATCTTTCTGCAGTTTAAATTGCCTAAATTTGTTCTTAATGTTTTTGTTTATTGAAACAATGACTTTAAAAAAATGAGTCAACTGTTTAATTTAACAACCCATTTATTTTTCTTAAGTGAAAAAATGTTTTTTCAATAAAACATTTTCCAGGAAGTTTGCATGGCAAAAACAACAAGGTAGTGTTCACCCTAAGGTGATTGTTATTATTATTTACTCACCCCTTTGTCAATAGAAAGATTGGTGAAGTTTTGTTAACATCTGTGTTCTTCGGCGAGTTTGAGAGATGTTTTTTCCCACTCAACTGCAGTGAGCGGAATCTTCCAAAATACATCAATAATCAATAAAATGTCTCCATACTGTTTATCTGAGGTAATCCAAGTGTCCTGTAGCTCACACATGCCAAGACGTTTGTAAAAAAACATTACAAACTTGTGTTTTCAGCTGTGTTTGCTCTGCTGCTCTTCCCATGTGTGCTCCCTCCAACGCCGCACACAAACTTGCTTACTAGTAACTTCCAGCCAGCCCGTCTGTGTTCACGCAGCACCACAGTGAAAGCAAAGCAGAGCAAACAAAACCAAAACACAATTTAGTCACGTTTTTCTCAAAACATCTAGGAATAAGTAAGCTGCAGGACACTTGGATTACTTCAGATGAGCAGTATGGAGACATTTTTTTGATTCATGACATATTTTTGGGATGTTTGAAGCCAAGTTGCCGTTCACTGCAGTTTTGAGAAACAAACATCTTGGCAAACTCCCGAAGAGCTTAAATGTTGACAAAACTTCAGTCCTTTCGGCATCAGGATGAGTAGATGATGACAGAAATTTCATCTTAGGGTGGCTAAAATGGTATTGAGGTAGCTTTTTAAAGCACAAGGACAAGTTCAGGAACTGTTTGCATAGAGCATTTGGATAGGCTTTTTAACCTTTTAAACTCATAAAAAAAACATTTGACATGCTTCAGGAACCTTCAGTGCATCTTAAGAGACAGTCTTAATCGTTTGTTACATTTTAAAACATTTCATCTTAAAGAACAGTGCTGCCCTGAGGTTCTAAACGTCTGTTTCTGTATCATGAGTAATATCCTACAAAAAGCAGAGCATCTTGACACTAAAAAGTGCGATATTTTGCCCCTTGCTCTTTTCATGCCACACTCACATCCGTGACCCATTAAAAATGACCCCACGACCAACCAGTTGAGAACCTCTGGTTTAACTTGAAAATATGGCAGAAACTATAGTTTCATATGTGGCAAATCCACTGTCAGAGTTACTCATGCTCAAGAGCTAAAAGGAGTGTAAGCTTACACTTTAATTAATTTATAATATTTTATAACACCACTGTTTTTATATACCTTTATATCATTATCAAAGCCACTATGTTAAGGATTTGAAAAGGTCTTACTTACTTACTGGCACCAAATGGTCGTATTTAAGCAATGTGCTTTTAAAAAGCCTGCATGTAACTTGAGACTTTTTGTGACTTGTTGGTGTCAGTGTAACAGAAGCTAGCTAATTAATTAATTCTTGTTTTTAGGGAGTATCAAGTCAAGTCCTTAGACAGTCACATCTCAATAAACTCTGTTTAGAGAAATGTGTCAGGTCAAGTCTTTATATAGTAACATGCTAAGTGTCAAATCAAGTGTTTAGGTAGTCCCATCCTGTACTGCCCTCTATTGAGAAAATGTTCCTTGTTCAGCAAATGTGTATAATGCAGTTCCCCATGCTGGTTATATGAAAATCAGTAGTTGTAGAGCAAGGGATTTCCACACAGTCAGTTTAGCATGGTAGAGAGTGCTGTGGCCTTCCACTGCTGCAAATTTCTTTTATGAATTGTTGACTTGGACACTTTTTGTCATTAAGTATTTTATTCACCATTTTTGGCTTTTAGAAGTATATGCTTTTGTTAGGTGAAAATTTGAAATTAGATAGCATAGATGTGGTTAGCACAATGAGTGCAATTACCTTTCTTTCAGCTGCCTTACTTGTCTATTGGTTCTATTTTAATTTCTGTTTACCATTTGTGCTTTTGTGACTGTATGTGATTGTTCATTAATGGTGCAAGAAATGTTACACATTGTTTTTAGTGGAGGACTTCACACTGTTAGCTAACTGTCAAGCTTTGAAAAACTTGCAACTCACTGTGAGGACAGTCAACGTCCTTAGTTTCAAGTCAAGTCTTTAAGGAGTCACGTCTCAAGTTAACTCTATAGGGAGTAAATTCTCAGGTGAAGTCTTTATGGATAATGTCAAAGATTGTCTTTAGGGAGTCACATCTCAAGTACCAAATCCTACCAAGTCAACAATTTAAAGACAGTGCTGTGTCATGAAAACAAGTGAAATTATCATCAGTTAGAAAAGAGAATTAAGATGTATAGAAAGAATCCTTTCATTTCTGTTTTCACTTTAAAATTTATTACCTTAGTTCTTGACACAATGCTGTATAATCACTGAAAACGTAATGTGTGTTTTACATGTTTTACAACAGCTTGTTTACATTTGATGGGGTCGAGAATATAAATTTTTCAAGTTAATTTGTGATTTTTGCGTAAGGTAGTAAGTATGAGGGTTTCCCGGTGGTAACTTGTGTTGTTTCTTTTCTCATCCAGGAATCTTGATCTAATCAGAGTCACTGCTACAGGAGCTGCTGGAGGACTACAGCATGGATGAACAGGAAAGAAAAAAACAAACAAAATGATTCAATCAGCAATGACAGCTTATCACTCAATTTTTGACAAAAGTTTGAATGAGTTTTATTCCTCCAGAAATAACCTTTAAAAACATTAGATCAAACCTGTGATCAGTTTTCATTAGGATGGATGGCACAAACATTTTATGCTTCATGTTTCTCTGAACTCTGAACAAAATTCACTTTCGGTTGTGAATAAACAACAAACAATGCATTGTTGAAACTTACCCCGTGACAGTCCTTCTCCTTCTTGTGACATTTGCCATGCTTGTGGCCAAGCTTGTGCTTGTGCCTGCGCTTGTTCCCATGCCCATGTCCATGCCCATGTTCATGTCCATGCCCATGCCCATGTCCATGTCCATGCTTATGTTCATGCCCATGTCCATGTCCATGTCCATGCCCATGTCCATGTCCATGCCCATGTTCATGCCCATGCCCATGTCCATGCCCATGTTCATGCCCATGCCCATGTTTATGGTCCTGTTCGTGTTCATGTTCATGGCCATCACCATGTCCGTGTCCTTCTGTAATTAGTTATACAAATATTTGGTAAATATAAATGTCAAGTATGTTATCAGCCAATACATTCAATACACTTGGAAAAAGAGGTCGGGATGAACCAAAAGCATCTGTGGTATTTACCTTTCTTGTGTTTAAACATTTCAAAAGCACTTCAAAACCTAACATTGAAGAAAATACAATTTGTTAATGATATAATAGACACAGATCCCCAGTGAGCAAATAAAAGTCACAAAGTATAACAAAACACCTGAGATGGCAATGAACTTTAACATTCAAATTAGGCAAATGCAACTATAAGGCGTGTTAAGGTGCTATGTACAACAATTCAAAATTATACCAACAACGACCATGACCCCTGCACATATATGCTCTTTCCATATTTTAGCAGAGTTGTCCAGGTGAACTTACCGTGTGCACGAAAACAGATCTACAGATGCAGAGTTACCCGCTGCTCCTTTTATGTGAAGCCACGCCTCGTCCTGGATCAGTTCATCAGGGGCAGTGCCTGCAATTTCATGAGAAACATGTATGTTTTGTGAGTATACAGTATATGAGAGGTTGTGCAGTTAACCTGTAGAATACCCTACGTGTATATGTTGCTATGTACACTAAAAGAATACAGCACATTTGTTATTATGTTATTTGTAATATTAATAATGGTGTTGTGAACGTTGCAAGATTGTTGCACACCATGTAATTCCTTCGTCTCTGCTCAACAACAAACAAAAACAAACCCGTTTTCAGGAAACATTTTCCTCAAAGCTAATCAGCGTGATGGTATCAGTAAACAAAACCCGTATTTTCTCCTGTGACAAGTGAAGAATGCTTTCTGTTTTCTTTCCAAACCTACACACGCAAATGGCTTATTCACTTACTTTTGAAAGTTTATCGTCTATGTCGGCTTTGTGATGCTTATCAGTGTACCTGAACTCTCCTTTAACATTTTGTATCACACACATACTGGACAATATAGTAAGAGGCAATGATGCTGTTAAATAATGAACAAATACTATAATTTTCTTTTATATTAACTCATTCTCATAAAAAGAAATTGTGTTCAAATTTCACTTGTAAAACCTAGTTGTTCAGTCTCAAGTCTTGAAGGACAAGTCACGTCTTCATGAGCAAATTGCAAGACAGCTGCAATTCTTTCAGGTCTCTGAATGTGGACAATTAAAACAGCAAATGGCAAAATTTTAACTTCGTTCTTTTGACTGTGTTAACAGTGATTCTTTTACATAAACTATAATAATAATGATAAAAACATTTTATTTGATGGCGCCTTTCATACACTCAAGGTCGCCTTAAATAATACAACAAGCAGCAATAATACATAGCATTATTAAAAGTGCATCAAAAAACAAACAAAAAAGTAAAAGTAAGACATCAACAATCAAAAGGAAATCAGTATTGCACATTATTACAGATAGTATGGTGGTTTGAAAAGATGTTACAGTTCTGGTGTGGTGGGTGTGGGTTTTGAGTGTTTCCTGTTTTAGTTTGTAGATGCCTGCCTTCAGTGTCATTGTTGTGTTTTACTTCCTGTGGTTGTGGTCTCTCTGATTTAGTGTTTTCACCTTTGTATGATTAGTTTCTTCCTCACTGTATTTAAGTGGTTTGCTTCCTTCACTGAGTGCTTGTTCATTGTTTGTCAGATCCTTGTCTCTCTCAAGCTTTTTCCAAACCTCAGTCCCTCAGCTGGCTAGCCACCTGCCTGTTTCCCGGCCCACTGGCCCTGAGCTCCGGCGTGCTAGCCTCCACATGCCTGATTCCCGGCCTGCTAGCCTCCTCCTTCTGTCTGCCCCTGTGCCAGCTAGTGCCTCGGCGGCTGGCGTCCTGCCTGCCTGCGTGTCTGTTTCCCTCCTGTGAAGTACTCTGGAGGGCGATGTGGACGTGGTCGCTGACAAGTCAGGTCAAGTGTTTAGGGGGTCACATCTCAGGTTTAGAGTCAAGTGTTTAGGGAGTAAAGTCTCTGGTCAAGTATTAACGGAAAAAGTCTCAGGTCAAGTCACTTCTCAAACTGTTAGACTTAAGTGAAGTGTTTAGGGGGTGGAGTCTAAAATCAAGTCATTACGGAGTCATATCTCAAGTTTCAAGTGAAGTCTATAGGGAGTCAAGTATGGGTCTAAAATCAGATCTTTAGGGTCACATTTCAAGTCAAGTCAAGTCAGGTCTTAAAGGAGTCTCGATTCTCAGGTCAAAATTTGTGGGATTCAAGTCTTAGGTCAAAAATAAAATATCGAATCTAGTCAAGGTAGAGTCAGAGAGTGCGGAAGGAAATACAACA